CCCCCCCGGTGCAGTTGCAGTTATTGCTATTAACATAAAAAAAAATTGTCACAGCTCAAAACCTCTGCCTTAATTGGCACCTAACGAATTATAATTTAAAATTCTTTCAACGCAAATAGATATTCATCACAACCATATTATCGGTATGTAGCATATATACTAGCATTGCATATGATGTATCAATAAAAAAAAAAGGCCAAATACATAGACAGCTCATTCAACTTGACATCATTTTTCATTTTTGCACTCTATCTGAACTTTATTTCATTTTTGGCTCTCCAACCCTATTTTTTATGTTTCACTTTAACACAAAAACTGACTAGTCACTTTGGTGTGCATGATACTTTCAGTTCAACTTGAAATCCACAAGAACAAATATTCATTCCATTATGAAAAAATAATTTTCTTTGAGACATGGATTCACTTCAAACTTCAAGTTTATATGAAATAAAGGATGAAAAAACTAGGTGGCAACATTTAATTGGATATTTATTACACTTCATATTTGTGTGTACACATGCGCTATATTTTTTTGCACTGATTTCAACTTTTGTGTTAAAATAAAACATAAGAAATAGAGTTTGATGGCTAAAATGGAACAAGGTTGAGATAGTGTATCAACATAAAAAATAGAATCAAGTTGAATGGGCCGTATGTATATTTGGCCAATTATTGTAGTAAAATCAATATGATTAAGCTAAAAGGATAATATTGGCCAAATTGAAGAGTTGAGGCGCTGGAAACAACTATTGATGGTGATAGATGATGGAAACTGGAAATAGGGCTGGCACCGAGGGCGGAGCTAGGCGGGCGGAAAGCGGATCAATCGAATCTTTTTCGCTAAAAATTATATTATATATATAAAGTTAAATTATANTTTTACGAATTCCGTAAAAATCTTACTTCCGCCACAGACGTACACATCACTACACTACCCATTGCTCCTATTAATCTGGAATGATTGGTAGGGGCTCATTTACAAAGAATTTAAACTTTTGGAAATTTCATTGAAGATTTTATAATCCATTTTTTTTTTTGTTTTTCTGGGGTCACTCAGTGCTTCACGACTTACAGTAATACAAAACTTTTTCTTGTCAATTAGTCAGGGCGTACATGGTCCACAAACACATTATTCTCTGCTGCTGTTCTTGAATAAATTTCGAATTACCACGCACATGATAGGAAAATGTCAACAAGTTCAATCCATCATATTTTTTGCCCCACTTTGTAAGATATAATTTGATTTTAAGAATTGAAATTAATGAATAATTAATTCAATATTTCAATTAAATGTGGATATTTGAAACCACGTTAACAATTTCATCTATACCAATGAATACCAATAAAAACTTTCAAAATCTCATAAAATTTAATGAATAAGAATTTTTGTTTTTGGT